ACCCATCAATCAGTTCCTTTAGTACTTTAACCTCAAGAGTATATGGTGTTTGACCTTGCTTGACCTGAATGATAAACAAAAGACTGCTCGCGTGACGCTCAGACCTTCGCGAACCTTTATCGTGTAGAATTATATAACCTAAGTTACATCTAAATAATGTTATTGATTTTTCCGCATGCAAATTCAGTTTTAAGACGTATTTCCACTTCGACAAGTGCCTTTTTTATATTCAATCATTCATGGCTCAGTGGTTTGAGTACTTGACTTGTAATCTACAGGTCTTGGGTTCGAATCCCGCTGTACCAATGTGATTTTCGATTTTTCAAATTTTCATATGTACATAATTTACCCGACGTTCTTACGGTGAAGGAAAACATCGTGATGCAACCTGCACATATCGGCGAAGAAATTCAAAGATATGTGTGAAGTCGACCAACCCGCACTTGGCCAGCGTGGTTGACTATGGCCTATTCACCCCTTATTAGGGTAGGCTCCGAGCCCCTCCGTGGGGACGTATAGTGAGCTGGTGATGTGATTTGAATTTATGAGCTATTTCTCTGAATATGCTTTTGTCCTTTCTTTGATTTTATCCGTAGATAATCTAATCAAGAAAAAATATATCACATTTTCCCGCTCTTTGAATCTACGATCTTTATAGCTTGCTTTGTTTATAATCTAATTCTATTATGTATACTATTAATTATTGTAATATCATATAATAAAGGCAGTACGATTATCGATGTTTATTTGTCAATTAGTCGTCAATCGATCAATAAAACTTGACAACGTCAATCAAAAGCATTCATAGCTCTCAATTAATATGCAAAAGAGCGCAATTCTATTGGCCAATAACTCGGTACATACGGCATGTAAGTATACAAACTAACTAAATTTATCGTTGTAAAGCATCGTACGGGAATTAGTTGACGAGTGTAATGCACGGTAAGGTAAAGTAAGGAATATCGTCTAACGCATTGGGAAGATGTCGACTAAGAAAGGTCGCAAACCATTGACTAAACTATCCCACAATTGATGTGCGATCGTCGATTGTTTCGCAGCAAATTCAACTGTTTAGTTGCACAACTAAAAATCGAGTAGCACCTCCATATACGCTCATAGGACTCAAAGGGCGGCTAAACAGTTATGTGACAGTTTAGTCTAAGGTGTGCGCGCGCTAATGAAAACGGTTCTGGTCTATGAAAAGCAAAACTTACGAGTGATGATTATTGTGTTGTGGTACTCCTAATTTCTTATTAATAAATAAAAGGTGCAAATATTTTTTTGCACATACAATTTCTTACACTAGCTGATGTAACAATCCAATCTCTGTTCAAAATAGTGACGTGTCACACGTCATTAAAACTGTTTACAATTCTCTATTCTCATACGACATTCGCGTTTCCCGTTGGTTTTGTTTTTCTCAGAAGCTGTTACGCTACGTAACTGGAGGTCAGGGATAGCGATGAAATGTCCAAACTAAATGTTAGCCGAACATTCGGACTGCTAGGGATGGGATTATTTATCGATTTTATCGATAAATGATATTACAACTAATTAAAATAAATTATTATTATTATGAACTGTATTCTAACTTTAAACAATCTTTGTTTATAAATTTAAGAATAAGTACTAAAATAAATCTTAAATACTTTAATAAAGAAGAGTTTAATTTTTTTTCTCTGTCTATTTCGTCTCAATATTTTTTCGTAAGTACATAGTAGTTAGTTGTGTCAATTTAAAGTCGAATTTTGTCCATGACATTGCCCAGCAATAGACAATTAATGTGCAAAGCACGTAAGCATTCATGCGTCATCATTTCTATTGAATTCATTTTCCTTGTAGTTATTGAAAATTTGCTTGTTGATTATAGCAACAAAATAAACGAAGGACTCTTGGACCTCAAACAAAATCCGCTGCAAAGTTTACTGATCACTAAGGTGATTTTTAACTGTCGTTGTAAGAATTAAACTTCAGTTTAAACTGAACGTATGTAGCAGACATTATACAATTATATGCAAAGGTAATTATTATCTAAGTTCAACAACAAACAAGCATGTCATCAACATGTAAGTAAAAGCCTTTTTCGAGGCTTATCGTTGTACAAACAGAATTTCCCAGAATGACTTAAAAACAATACTGTTGTCAAGTGCTATACAAAATAACAATGATTTTTTTAATATGTACTTAATTTTATTTACATAATTGATAAACGAAGAACAAAAATATCTATACCTTGTCTCTAAATTAATACATTTTGATAAATTACTACAATAGCGAAAATCTTTGCATTTTAAAAAGACTTAGATCCTTACCATAAAAAACTTTCATGGAGTTTTAAAATCTAATTCAGATTAAACATACATCAATCCTTTTACCGATGACTCGAGAGCCGCTGCTGGTGCGGATTTTTGACAATTCATGAATATTGAAAACAATAATATACGTAAACTATGAGATATAACAACATCGACATCCAATATATCAATCAGCGGCAGCTAAAGACTTTAAACGCATGTTAATTTATTTAATCATAATACAGTTTTTTTAAGCATATCTGACACTGACATTGTGTTAATTACAACACAATCAAACAGATAATAATGAATAATGATTATTTTAGATTCACGGTTACATTATCTTATCAAAATAAATGTTATTTACGTTAAAGTAAATGTTAAAAAAGGTGAGAGTAGGTAATGGAAAAATTTAGAAATAGGAGCTATGTTTAAACAGTTTTGTTCCGAAGATCATATAGCACAAAGATTGGAGCATCTTTTTTGTTTTTAAGATGGTTTAAGGTTTAATAATAAAATATGCCTGTTTATGACATATCTTTATTATTAATTAGCGAGCTTAAACAAAATCATTTACATGTGTTTAAAGGGACATCAATTCCGTTTTATTATCAAATACAGGTTATGCGTGAATCGTTTTAATTATCTTTATATTTAACTGGCTCGAAACCAACAATAAGGTATTTCGTCTCCACGTTTATTTTAATTGTTTTAACAGCAAACAAAGAAAGTTGCCAAATATTTGCTAAATAGGTCGCTAGTTGCCACAAGGTAATAATTTAAACAATAATTATTCGTTTGCCCAAGAATTTAATTCTGAGTCAACAAAGGTTCAAACCAGGAATATATCCTTCATACTTACTAATATAATAAAGAGTAAACGCCTACTTCGTGGCGTACGATGTCAGCAATCACAGCATATTTTTGAATAATTCCCTCTTCAGTAAAAAGTCCTACATTTACGACACGCTTTAGGTTATTTTGACGCTATTAAACTTAGGAGTTCAATAAATTGCTGCTAGAAAAGGACCATAAAGTACAAGCTGCCAACATTAAAGAAGCAAGGTTATTATGGTAACGGTAATTTTGACATTAGCGATTGAGAATTTGACAAATGTAAACAATAAAATAAAGTTTTTATAATTATATTAAAGTCTAAATTTTAAGGTTATTGGTAGGATGAAATTAAAAATCTATTTATCCTAGAAAATACATGTTTAGAAGTAGCATTGTACCTTGAAATATATTATATATTATGTGCATTCCTCCGCAATGCCACTTGACATACATACAAGTATATATCTGCGTTATCAGTCACACGGCCTAGGCAATTATACATTAATGAACAGCAAACAGACTAATCATAGCATTGTGAGATATCTCTGTACAACTGTAACTCTCAATTGTCGATGAATAAAATCATAACTCAAAATTGAATGACTAACCTTGAAGTCATACATGTGTCTATTTATTAAATAAATGTTAAAAATATTTACATTTTCTCTTTAACTCAAAACGTGAAAATACTGCAAGGTTCTTTATTTGAATGTCTTTGTTTTTATAATACAAGTCTAATTTGTACACTGAACCTCCGTTACTATTTTACACACTCTATGATCTGATATCTGAAGGCTTTTTATGCGTTTTAAGGAATAAATGAATGACGTCACCAATCAATGTTTGCTAAACATTTGGCTTTGTCAGCATTACTTGCATAAATCTATTGGATTTCCTCTTATTTAAGTTAAACTTAATCCTGCAAAGTATTAAGCTTTTTGATTATCGGTTAAATATAAAAATTTGTAATAAGAATTCAAGTGGATTTGAATTCCATACTCATAAATACAGTATTCTGCACCAGTATAAAACGATATCTAATATCTTATTTACATTTCAAACTACCTTTTGTCCGAAATTCGGGGATTGGATTTAAAAAAAAATCTAAAGTAAGTAGCATACGTGTTCTTCCAGATTATCCTCTTAAACTATTACAAATTTGATTGATACGTTCAATTTAGTCTGCGAAATCACAACTACCATCCATCTAATCTTTCGCATTCATAATATAAGTAAGATTTGACATCGCGACATTACTATAGAGAATCCGAATCTTTTTATCAGTTTGTTTTATCCGTGCTTTTTCTCTATTTATAAAAAAAAACTGCAGCAATGATTAAGTACATTTGAGTTACAAAAAATCAATTGACTTATAAAAACATTGTATTCAATATTTGAAAAAGACCGGTTCTTTTTCAGTGCATACGAGGTTTATAAAAACAATTTCTTGATCGAAGCCAAGCGCAAAAGCGATTAAATCATTATATCCGCTGCAAAATAAATCTATAACAAAATAAGGCTTAAGAACTATTCGCCGTTTTGTTAAAATTCTACGAATTAATTGTTAACAAGGATATTACAGAAAAATAGCTCTGTCGTATTGAAATGTCTTGTGCCAAAGGGTAAAACTAGAAGATAAAAAAGAATAGTTAGAAAATAAGATATTGTTTAATTAAAAAACTGTTTATCAATCTGTTGTTTGTTTAAGATATTCTAATTAAAACAATATTTATATACAAAAGTAAATATCACATTAATTAAATAAAATTGCTAAAAATAGCTCGAACATCGTCGCGTCAAGTAAACAGTTTGTAGAGAAATTGTCGATATATTATCGAGATCGAGTGCGGGCACGTCACTACGATTGTAGAATCGTGTCGTGCGTTACGTTCCGTCAGAGTCCGTCAGTGTGCAAATTGTAGCATTCGACGTCGAACGCGTCAATTTATTAATTTGTCAGAACATCGAACGAAATAAGTGTCAGTGAAGCAGTGTTCAGGTAATTGTGTATTTAATTACGATTAATTTGAATTAATTGCCTGTGATAACTACTTTTAGATAATTGAATGAAAGGCGGTAAGTTTGTTTCCTATTTTCGCGCGTTAATTTCGACGCGGGAAATTTGATTTTGGAATATTTGTAAAAATAAAATTCCAAGTAAATAAATATCATCCATACTAACACAAATTATAAGTCACATTTAAAGATGGCATATCTTTTGTCATTTTCATTTAGAATTTTAAAAAACTCTCATATAAGTAAGAGATTAACAATAATATTAAAAAGATAATAATACAAAAAGGGTAAAGTCTATAATCTCTTTAGAATTGAGAATTTCCAATAACTAAAACTTTCGAAACACAATAAATTATTTCGCACATATAATTTATATTGAAACAGATAAAAATTTATCTACAGATCAATAAAATTATAATCAAAGATACACTGATCGATTGAAACATAAATACAAGAGACATTTCTTTATGCGTTATCGAAGTTTCCAGAAAGCACAGACCCGGTTACTTTGTTGTCAGATGGGATACTCTCGAACGTCTAGATGTCAGCTCAAATGCCTCTCAAACGCTTATAATTCACACATCAAATCTATGTTTAATTACATATTATGAACAAATAAACTATTTTACCCACTACATTTTAAACACAACTTATTTATCAATATAAAATCTTTATAATCTGTAATCTATATAATGCATTACGAAACAACTGTAGTGCGTGTTTATTGTGTGGAGGTTTTTCTAAACATACCTAACTAAATTAATAACAAACAATAGATAATATGCAATAAATAAATAGGAATTACGTATAAGTCTGAAGTTTGCATTTACAACGAATGATAATAAGACATTAAGGGCCTGTCCCACAATACTTGTAAATTGTCAGATAACTATCCAACGTAGAAAATGTCATAATCATCATATGCCGACCCTCTATAAGGGATAAGGGCAAGTATCCACTTGCCCTTATCCCTTATAGAGGGTCGGCACAGTATGTGCTGCTCTTCCATACATCTCTATCAGCCGTCATATCTGAATCCACTCCTTTCTTAAGCATATCCTCTTTCACACAATCCATCAATACTTTCTTCTGTCTTCCTCTTCATAAAATATGTCATTTAAATATCGGATTTTAGTACACTGAAAGTGGTGTCACTTTTAAGCTATCTGAGCCTCAATCAGCCAGTAATGGGACAGGCCCTAAGTTTAAGTAAATAAACAAGTAAAAGAAGTAACCTAACAAATAATCAATAAAAGTTTCCAATAATAAGTAACAATAAAATGATTTGATAAATAAAAGCCAAGAAAATAAACGTAAGAGCTTTTCTAACGAGTTCTAATAACCGAAACCAAACGTTAACTTAAGCTACATTTTAACATACACGAAGTAAAATAAAACAAATTTAAATAAGAATTGACACTTTTATATACAAAACCTTAACATTGATTCATTAATCTAAGTAATTATGAAATTAAAATAAAGTTATCCTTATCGGATAAAGATAGTGTTTCGTATTTGGTCTGTGACCGCGAGTTACGAGTGCTTATTGATTTTTTTTTTATTAAACAAATCTATACTTATCAATATTTACGAGTACTTTATATACAATTAATTGTTCGTCTGTCTGCATAGCAACAGGAAACTTATCACACTATACTTCTTTTGTAAAAATGAGAAAATTGTTTCATGAAATATCTCTATACTAATATTAGTCGAATAAAGAGGAAAGATTTGTATTTATGTATTTAAAAGTAACTCAAAAACTACAGGGCCGAATTTAAAAATTCTTCCACCATTAAAAAGCTACGTTATGAGTGAGTAACATAGGCATACACACATTTTATTTATTATTTTTAATGTAACGCCGGCAAAGTTGCCAGCAACAGTTAAATATGAAGCAATTGTTTTTTTTTTTATTCCATTACGTGTTACGCGTTTTTTATGCAATATTTTATTAATTAACTATTGTTTATAACCTTTTTAAGTAAGTTTTAATCTTCTACTCGGCACTTCACAACATTTTAATTGCGTGATCTGAATCTACGACCGTTAGATATTTAATAATGTAAGGCTATTGTCACATAAGCGTTTAGTACAAAAATGACGGAAATTCAGCCTGAACTTTTAATAACCTCCATTTTAAATCTAGACTTAAACCTGGCTAAATTGTATTAACCAGGTCTTGGTCACATTTCCAAATATGGTCGTAACAAAACGTACAACTTTTCATTTTACTTTTCAATAATAAAGGTTTTTATTTTGTTGGCAATTAAGAGTGAATGCGTAAGGTTACATTACCTTACTTTTACGCACAAAAACACTCTCATATAAGCTCTCACGAAAGCTTGCTTTTTTCATACCAAACATCTAAAGCCATACTAATATTGTAAAAAGGAATATTTTTGTTTCTGTACTAATTTACGCCCGCTAGTTCTTGTAAAGTAAGTAGCCTAAATGTTTTTCCAGACTATCCTCTACATCTATGCCAAATTTTACCAAGATCCGTTCAGCAGTCTAGGCTACAAACTCTAAAAAATAACCATTTAAATATTTTGGATAAAAACCCTAATGTGAGAAAGAGACCATAAGTTGTTGCCAACATCAATGAAGCAAGGTTGCTATTTTTTGACATCATGTCATGTCATTTTGGCATTTGCAATTGATAATTTGACAGATGTAAATAATAAAATGAAATTTTGATAATTTTATGCGGATGAAGTCGCATGGGAACAGTTAGTATGTTATGTTATTGGTCTGTTATTGTAAAACAGATTGATCTAGATAATATTTCTTGTTATCTGTAACAATTATTACATTATCATAATGTTTTACGCAATACAATGGCGAGCATTGAGTAAATACCAGTAATATATACAAAAATATAATACTTACCATGTACATTGTGTGGAATTATCGCAATTAAAACCTGTTATCCAGTGATAGCGATGCGATAGCTATATGATATAACATATCTTCAAAATCTTACAACTTATCATGTTTTATGACGAACACAAAATATAAGCTGAAAAAATAATTTATAAATAGGTTTAAGTTGTAATTACTTGTATGGTTTTTATTTGTTCAATATCGGATTTATCGAAACAACCCCAAAATTTTATTCACGAGTATAAATAGTGAAATGACTTTAAGAAATATGTTTTATCAAGTTGAGAGTACTTGAATAAGTTAAAATATCTAATAAAACTTACAGATTCTAAGTCATTTAGTCTAAGAACACATTTTCATATTCTAAGTATATTCATAAACATATGTTATTTATCACTTAAATCGTCTTTTTATTAATATTACTCGTTAGTTTTAAACACACAAAGATGTACTTGTAAGTAAGAAAGAAATTCACAATACTACACAAAAACATTACACAATTAAATATATAATTGTATCATGTTAAAATAATATGTTTATATGTTAATTAAAGAATGATATAACACTAGATTACTAATGAATAATTAATATTATCTAGTGTTTAGATAATAACCTCTAACGGTTAGCATTGTGCGATGTTACATAACGCCGTCCCCAAGGTCATTGTTGCGAAAGTTCTTATCTGAATTAAGTCAATCGTTTTTAGATACGTTAAAGATAAACTGAATTTCATTTCCGTGTTTTGTTTTAGTTTTTAACTAGCTTTCGCCCGTGACTCCGTTCACGTGGAATGAAAAACAAAGTAGGAAGCCTATGTGTTCTTCCATAGTACTCTGCGTCTATACCTTTCATTGACATCCGTTTAGCAGTTTAGGCTACAAACTCTAACAAACATCCATCTAAACTTTCGCATTTATAATAACTATTAGTCAGAGTAAGATTACTATTTCTTAAGTATGAAAGACGACATTTAAAAAAAATATATCTTTTTATTTCGTAAGGTCTGATATACACGGGCTTGCTACATTTAGCGTTAATTAGGACGGTCATACACGGACCAGTAAAAAAGGTGTTTCTTAAATAAAGATTTAAAAAGAAATGTACAAACAATAATCATTTTGTTTCATGTCACCATATCAAATATTGCCTCATGTTTAACTAACAAATGTTAAGCAAATATCACCCTTATCTCCACGGATCAAGAGTCATCTGAATCACGCACGAAATAACGTAGCCAGATAAACACAAATATATTTTGCATGATCTTTTTTAATCAAATAACTATTTTGGTTATTTAAAATTATCTACGACAAATTAATTACAATATGCTATTACCAAAGCAATATAACAATCAATAAATAATCTAGAGAGAAGATGACAATTGTCTATTATATTTTAATGAAACGTTTTTAAATACAGTTAATTTTTACATAAAATAACTTATTCCAGGTAGAAATGGGAGGAGATCCAGAAGCGAATGAAAACGTAAAAGCACAGAACGAACCATCAGAAAACAAACAAACGGAAAACACAAACTCTAATGAAGCTAAAGACAGTACAAAAGTATCCAATTATATACAAAACATAAAGATATCGAATTCCAGTAATGGCTTAGTACTAACAGAGAAAGATAGTAAATTGTCTTTAACTAAAGAAGCACCTTTACTCACCGACTCCAAAACTGTCGTCAGATTTTCACCAGCATGGAAACAGGTAAATATTCATTCATCACCAGCTATACGTTCCCACCAAGGGGCTCGGAGCCTGCCCTAATAAGGAGTGACTAGGTCCTAGTCAACCACACTAGCCCACTGCGGGTTGAATTCACACATATCTTTGAATTTCTTCGCCGACATGTGTAGGTTGCATCACGATGTTTTCCTTCACCGTAAGAATGTCGGGTATATTATGTACATATGAAAATTCGAAAATCACATTAGTACATGGCGGGATTCGAACCCAAGACCTGTAGATTACAAGTCAAGTGTTTAAACCACTGAGCCACCGACGCTCCAGGTAAATATAATAAATTGATTTTACAAAACAGAAAACAGTAAACTGCATTTATAGAAGTTAAAAGATCACAGGACACCCTTAGTGAAGATTAAATAAATTTTAATGTAAAAAGTTTGACTAAACTACCGCATAACTGTTGTGCGATTGTCGATTGTTTCGCTGTTAATTTACGCAAGTAAAAACCGAGTATTGTGCCAACGGCGGATCCGATGGGGGGGGTCATGATCCCCCATGCCCCCCCACTTTGATCCACTTGACATGAGCTTGACAAAACATATTTACATATTTTGTCAAGCTCTTGACTTGACTACGACTATGTAACCACCCTTGGCATCAAAGCTGGATCCGCCCTAGTAGTGTGCACACCTCCATTTAAGTTCCGAAGAATCAGTTCTGATAACGCGACTAAACAGTTGTGCGATAGATTAGTCAAAGGTGTGAGCGCGTCCCAGTGTAGTTTTCACCTATATATTCTTAGCTTCTTTAGTAATTAATTAACCCTGTGACTACAAAAGAAAGGTATCTCCAGAGAACATGAATTATGGCTTTGTTTGGTTTTGAAGACCTAAAGTTTGAACTGCGACTTTTAGTAGTCTATGTCTAGACTAGGATTAATCTCTAGATACTATCAAATTACGTTACCTATTTTATTATACAAACACTGATCACGTAAGAAATGTTTTTTAAAACAACAAACTCTTGACTTCTGTCAATCCTTTATCTAAAATATGAACTTCAGGGAATTCTGTTTTAAAATGAAGCCATCCTGTTAAAATGCTTTGGTTTTTCCATCTCCATTCTTTCCACGATTGGGACACATATTGCTATTGCTATTCCTTTCACTGTCTTCTAAACAAACAGAGACCACAATACTATTGTCACGACACTCGAAAACAATAAACATCATTCTGTTCTAACTAAATGTATTCAAATTGTATGTAACTAATTCAATAAAACTGGGTTAATATAAAATCAGACGTGAAGTATGTACGTCGGTGAGCTACAACCCACTTACCAGAGACCTTTGAACATGCGATAGTACATACATTCCTACAAACATGCGAATATAGGTACAACGAACTGAGATAGTGCTATCAAAGGAACAAAGAACGGAGTTAACATGACGAGAAATATTGCTTGATAGAAAGGACAGTGTCCTGTCTACATATTCTTATGTCGTGATTTTTGAGAATTAATCGCGTAAGCATGTTACATTAATTACTAAAAAGTGTTACGGACGGAGAAAGAAATTATGAATTCTTCATTACCTTCTAGTTAACTACCACATTTAGTACCGCTACTTAATATTCACACTTAAATCTACGCTAAGGGAAGTTTATTTTGCCATTGAATTAAGTCGACAAACATCCTTTGTCTACAACACTCCTTTACTCTTTCCAGACTCTAGCAGCGTCGGCGGCCATTTTAATGACGTTTTCTTCAGGCCTGACTTCCGGGTACTCCGCTATCTTGCTACCTCAACTGAAGGAACCTGACAGCATCATACCCTGGGATGAAAGCACTGCATCATGGATAGGTAAGGAATCATATGTGTGCATATATTTGACTAAACTAGCGAACAATATTCTCGATTTGATTCCTATAAGGTTATTTGGAGGTACACTTCTCGATTTTTAGTTATGCAACTAAATAGTTGCCTGCGAAACAATCGACAATCGCACAACTGTTGTGCGATTGTTTACTCAAAGGTTTGCGCCCGTCCTAACTTATCCGTTGTAGGTATCGAATAGTTTCGCGCCCTTTTTAGTTTTCTATAACGTTCAAATTCCTTTACATTGCGACAATAAATGATTTACTTAGTGTGAAACTCTGAGATTTAAACGGTCTCTAAGACTAAAGACTTAGTGTAGTTTTAGTGAAGATCTTTAAAATACTAAAACAATAGCATACAGTTAAATTACGTTCAAAGCAATGATTGAAACAATCTTATTTATTTTAATGAAATAAATGAAACATAACAAAATTCCGTCATCTATTTACAGAATGTATGAATGATTTATTTGTTGAGATTTCCATTCACATCCGCTCACAAACATTATTCATCGAGAGAACGAACTAAACTAAAATCGAGTAAACACGAGGCAAATACGTCGCTAATTGATAACACTGTTCTGGGAATTGTACGAAATTCGTGGTCTTTGGAAATTCCAGAATAAATTATGAAACATTTTAGGAAAATTTTCTGATTTTTTCTAACCATAAAAGTACTCTGCCTAATCATTTGTATTAAAAAAGTACGTTTTTAAATTTTTTTCAAAGATGTAACCACATTTTTTTCAAACTTTGACAGTAAAATACGAGTAATAAAATTCTTCAATTGTTTACTCGTGCCAAATACATCTGAAAAAATACAATTACAACACAGCTGTTTGAAGGCTTTCAAATAATCTGCCAAGTATTTTAACGAAAAGATATTCCGTGATCTTGTTTTTATTACGCGTTTGTGATTTTCTGTTGGAATGTTTGCACTTTTTATTTAATACGAACGCAACATGATATAGAACGCATTTACTTTCGACAAAAATTCAGTTAACTCGAAATTACATAATATTTTTAAGAACTAGATATTTATGATAAATTGTTCGCGTTTCTTTCGCACAACTGTCTTTCGATTTTAAAGTGCGCACACTACTCTATTTTTAGCTGTGCAACTAAACAGTTGAATTGGCTGCGAAACAATAGACAATCGCACATTGTTCAGTCAAAGGAGTGCACCCGCTTTAAATCGACAATTTCCTAAATTCTCTCTTGAACAAAAATGTCCGTATTTTATGACGTTAAATGAACACAACCACATAATCATTCTTTGTTTTTAAATCTATAAACATACGTATGATGCAATTAAAGATGTCATATGATCATACAAATCTTGTTTGCGTCTCCATCACACACTGATATCAGTCTGTTATCTGTTATTTACTAATTCGACCACAAGTCGACTATGTTTACATAGCAACAACATTCACTAGAGGTTAAGAAACAAAACTGTTTACATTTTAAAAGATAAAATAAACAAAACCAAATCTAATTTGTTTAATAAATCAATTTTTTACTCTTTTAAAAAGTTCACCAACTTCGATGAACACTATAACTAAATTTGAACTAAATTAAGAGGTACGCTTGGATCCTTCCTGTTTCCTGTTTTAACATTGTTGTATTTATTTTGCAGCGGCAATGGCAGCGCTCCCTATGGCTCCAGGCTGTCTGCTTTCGGGCTGGATGATGGAGAAGTTCGGCAGACGTAACTCACACTACATCGTCTGCGCACCTTTGCTGGTTGGCTGGATCCTCATCGCCTGCGCCAACAACCTTCTCCTCATGCTCATAGGAAGATTCCTAACCGGTCTCTGCGTCGGTCTACTAGGACCGTTGGGACCGGTGTATATCGGAGAAACATCTGAACCCAAATTCAGAGGGATTTTCCTCGCAGGTGTGTCGTTAGCGATCGCAGTGGGGATTTTAGTCGCACATTTGATAGGAACTTTTATATCGTGGCAATGGACTGCGGTCATATGCTGCTTGTTTCCAATTCTATCAGTGATTTTACTAAGTGCAGTGCCTGAAAGCCCGACGTGGCTGATCTGCAGAGGTGAAGTGGAGAAAGGAGTCAAATCTTATTACTGGCTGAGAGGTTACAGCGAGGAAGCGAAAGCAGAATTACTAGCCGTCATTGATAAACGAAAGCAGACTGATTCAGAGCCAGTACCAACATGGAGAGAAAAGATTGCCAACTTAAAGAGTCCGGAGTTATTAAAACCTTTAGCTATTATGATTATATTCTTTATAACATGTCAGTTTTCTGGCGTGAACGCTATTGCGTTTTATTCTATAGAAATAGTTGAGAAGGCGGTCGGGAAGGGGATGGATCATTATGTTGCTATGTTGGCTATCGACGTGCTGCGGACTGTAATGTCTGTGGTCGCGTGTGTTATCTGCAAGCAGTATGGCAGGAGGCCTTTGTGTTTTATAAGCGGAATCTGGACTGCATTATCTATGATAGGATTAGCATTGTTCTTGTATTTCACTGAAGGCAAACCAACAGATATGTCGTGGTTACCGCTTTCGTGTTTAATGATTTACATCTGTGCGATATCAATAGGTCTAGTGCCTTTACCTTGGATGATGTGTGGAGAAGTATTCCCTACTAAAGTACGAGGGTTAGGTTCAGGAATCAGTTCAGCAACTACGTTCTTAGCTTTCTTCGTCGTTGTTAAAACTGCGCCCGGCATGATGTCTAGTTTAGGAGAAGTTTTCACATTCCTGTTTTACGGTATTATAGCGTTTATCGGAACTGTTATTTTGTACTTTATTCTGCCAGAAACTAAAGGCAAGAGCTTGCAAGAAATAGAAGATAAGTTTAGAGGTATAAAAAGCAACAAAGTTTAGTGTTCATTAAGTTTAAGTAAATGTTCAACGATATCATTTATTAACTTTAAGCTTAAATTTATTTATCTGTGATATTATAGTCTGTATAGTTTATTAAATAGATTATTAATATTAAAATTTATGTTATTACAAATGGTGGCTTTTATTTCATCTTTTCCTAGTATCTAGCCAGTATTATTTCGTACAACGACAGTTATATTTTAGGTGATTTACATAAAGTAATAAAACAACTCTTAAATCAAATATTTATTAATTATAATTGGTTTTTGAATATAATTAAAATGGCACAAGTTAATATTCGTTATAAGTAAATGATCTCGTACGATACCGATCGCATTTTTCATAAAAAAATGTAATACAACAAAAAATTAGTGATGATTTTAATCAAAAGCCTTAATATCAAATAATAATGGCACAATAAGCATTTATTTCCTTTATACCCAGTAACTTAGTTCACATAAGATGTTAAGTTATAATTAAGTACATGAACAGGAGAATTTATTAAATATTTAGGTAACATGAAAGGTAACATAAAATGAAACTACAGAAGTAAAACTTCGCTTGTAAGTTATTTAGTTACACTGACATCTTAATTCCAATTAATAAATCCATACATTTTCCAGCAAAAATGAAAAAACCTTAACCATAGAGCGAAGTTTTACTTTTAGTTTAAGACTCTTTTCCACTAACGTGTCATTTCTATAATCAATATAAGGTATTATTTTAATTTGCACTTTACGAATTGTTTGCGACTTGCTGTTTAGTGAAAAAGAGTTTAAATTACTATGGGTTTACTTGGCTCGCGGTTTAACGAGCCTTGATGCGGGCGGTGCGAACTTTGAGAACCCTTGCTGGTCGAAAACCGGCAGCAGGTCCCTGACCCTGGCAGACACACTGCCTCCCGACACTCTGGAACGATACGCTCTGTTGAGGATGAGAGAAAGGCTGTAAGTGAGGTGCTAACTACAGTGCGAACCAAAGTGTTTAGCAGCTGGAAACAACTGACGGCTACATTTGAATACTATACGTGATGTGAAATTGTGTTTAGGGAATATCTACGTGATACGTTCTACTGACTACGTACGTTAACAACATTAATAACTAGTATATACGAGTATCTATTTGATGAATAGTTCTAATCCTAATTAGCAAGGTTTAATAATGATGACAAGAAGTTCCAGAAATAGACAAATATCAAACAAAACTGTATTCAAACAAGCAATATTATGTTTCAATTATGCAGAAAATGTAAATATAAAACCATATGTAGGCATACAATAACTTAGCGTTTCTTGAAGATATACCTGCTGGGTTTGATCAGCTTAGCGGCCTGTGCAGGTGTAGCCAGTTCTGTCGGGAAGAAGGTCGCACCGTAGAAGTCGAGGCCGTTCTGCAACAGGATGTTGGCCTCCTCGATGCTGGCGAGGGTCACGCGGATGACGCAGGTCGCTTCCTTCGGTATCATACTGCTAACCAGCTCGCCGTCGATTGTTGTAAGCGCACGAGTTGGTGTCTTTTCTGATGGTTTTGGAGTCGATGTGCCTAATGTCGTGAAAAAACAAAAATCTTTAGCTTTAAAAAGTTGTCCAATATTAGTATTAAAAGACAAAACAGATATTGAATTTATAGCGTACATCTAAAATTTTTACATCGCATAAAATCTAGCATTTTGTGATGTTATAGCGTGCAATTAAACAGTCGTGCGATAGTTAAGTCAAAGGCGAACACTATAAGTACACAAAATGCTAGATTTTTTGCGATTAGAAACATAAGATTAAGAACCATCTTATGGCTCATCTTATGGTTATCATTATATGGTACGCACACTATGTAATTTTTAATTGTACAACTAAACAGTTGAATTGGCTAACGAAACAACAGATAATCGCACAACAGTCGTGCGATAGTTTAGTAAAGGTGTGCGCCACTGACCAGTGTTGCCCTCTCGTGGCGAGCCGGCGAGATGCAAACGCAGCACCTCCACGACGGAGGTGAACTTGTAGAGGGCATGACGGACGTCCTCCTCCGGCACCTCGTCGGGTACATCGTACACGTAGATAGTGAACGTCTTCTGAGGACGGCACGGTATCGCGATCTGCACGATAAATTTAAAGATTTACTTGTAAAATTTGTTAGTTATAACAAAATAGTGTTCGAGCGCCTGGTTTCTGCACGAGGCTCTAGGCTCGTCCTGTAGGAGCCAGGGTTCCTCCGTATTAGTGCTAGGTATTTAGGACATGTAGTAAACACTCAATAATGATTTTATATCGTGTTCACAATTGAAAATAGGATTGAAGTGAATAGGATCGTAAAGTTAGATGCAAGCAAAGTTGCAGCTTTATGAAAATAAATTATAAGTCAATTAAAAAAATTCATGAATAATTAAGTATATATCGATATAACTTAGATAATTATTATGAAGAGATAGCCAGGGCTCCAATAATTTCACTTAAAATACACTCCGATTTGCAGCATATGCAAACAATAACATATGAAAACAATTTTGGTACAAAAACTCAGAAGAAGATATGAAAGCACAGTTTTTGTTAATTAATGAAGGGATGAAAGAAAAAGGAGATAGAGAGAGGGTAAACGTTTATTACCTTCCTATAGAACCTGGATCCAGTAACTTTATGGAATCCTTTCTTGAAGACCATCTGGTAGTCATCAACATGAGAGAACTTGAAGAGTATACCAGTGGCTGTCTTGGTGAGAGAGAAGCAGCCTTTGAACTCCATCTTCTCGCAGATGGTGGATGCTTTCTCCATGCTGAGGCCGTGAGAGGGCGTGAGGAGGAAGGCTCCCTTAGTGAGGAAGTGCTCTGAGTCCGATATGTCGGACTCACTCTCCCCTCCCTTCATTAACGTGTGGATCTGCTCCTTCCACATGTAAGAATCTGACATCTGTGCATACAAATACATAAAATTTATAGACACATGTAAGTACCTGGCATAGCAAGCACAAGATTTGTTGAAAGCTAGGGACATGTAAGTTGAGGGAGGAGTAAAGGGGGAAAGGGTCATGCTAGATATAAGCCCAATTTACTGGCATGTTTATTCTTGCCTTAAGATTTGGCATATTTTACTTTGAAATTATTTAATCCAATTAAAGAAGAACTAACAAATGAATAACATATAACGTGGTATCATTTACAATTTATTAAACTAAAACATAAACAAATTGAATTTAAAAATCAGTCAAAAAGGACATCAGATCGCTTTTAGTAAAAAAAAAGCATATTTTAACAATGATGAACAGGCTAAAATTTAAAACATTTTTTTAACGTTTTATAATAAACTTTGAACCTAACACTAACAACATTATAATCACTATACCTACCTGATTATTTAATATTATATCACAACTTGCGGTCGGATATTGCGGTCGTAATCAGAAGCTCAACACAAAACACTACAAATAAAACTATCAACAATACTACCGCATACTAAAATAGACTTAACGTGTGTTATAATAAACAAAGTTTGTAAGGTAATCCTATTATAACACATTGTGTGAACAATTTCTCAAAATTATACGAAGATATACTGCATCGTCGGAGACTACCCTAATAATGAATAGGTCATAGTCAATCATGGTGCTGCGGATTGAATTCGTACAAATATGTGCAGGTTGCATCACGATGTTTTCCTTCACCGTACCGAACACCGAACATCTGGTCAAATTATTAAGAAAAACGCATTGGTAGATAACAGTGTCCAAACCCAGGATCTGTAAATGCCTAAGACCAGTGGATGGCTTCGTTGCCATGGACGTAATTCTCAAGGTATCGGCGTCTATTCAAAGTAATGTTCCTTAAACTCTTTGTCGATATAAAGGCGTATGTAAAAGTAATAGGTTATTAACGCAAGTACATTCGTATAACAAATTCAATTGACCATAAATCACATAAGAATACAATGGTATATGAATGTAGGGACAGTAATCGTTGCTAATGGCGCCACGCGTCACTAAACTGTACCAAACATGTCACTATGAGCTAATAATGAAATGGAAAAAGACATTTGGATTTAAATTAAAAAATATAGTAAGTAACCTATGAGTAAATGCGAAAGTTTAGATGGATGTTTCTTAGAGTTTGTAGCCTAAACAGCTGAATGGATCTCGATGAAATTTGGAATAGACGTGGAGGATAGTCTGGAAGAACACATAGAACTTTTGTGTTTTTGAATAACACGCGGACGGAGTTGCGAACGAAAGCTAGTGTTCTATATTTGTGACAGATTTCATCGAGATCCGTTACGTTGTTTTGAAGTTATTACAAACATCCATCCATCCGTTTATAAAAAAAATGGAATAAATATAATCCTTATTAAGGGTCTGTTAAAGTAACAATTAAATCGACTGAAAAGCTTGTAATTGTAATTGTTTTAAATACAAGACCAAATCGAGTGTAATTTAGTATAGTCACAAACTGTGGGTGGACAGGCTCTACAATTTAGATTTGGCAGTAATTGCCGTATGTTTGGTCCCAAGAGGCAGTAACGCCATATTTGGTAAAACCGAGCAATCGTTTAATTGTTTAATTTCTTCTACTTGTTACTGGTCGATAGATAAAGCATTTAGCTTGATTTTAAAATTGCTAGTTTTGCTAAATTAAAAGTTACAAGAATAACAAAATAACAAATTATGTTTTTACCAGTTTTTGCCCGCGACTCCGTCCGCGTGGAATTAAAAAAAAACAAAAGCGAGTAGCCTATGTGTTCTTCCAGACTATGCTCTAGATCTATGCCAAATTTCATCCAGAACCGTCCAGCCATTAAGGCTACAAACTCTGACAAACTTCCATCCATCCATCTAAACTTTCGCATTTATAAAATAAGTATGAAGTATGATGGTAAACAAACGTTGGACTTTTTGACTAATTTAAGCTCACAACTCCTTATCTCTGGGTTCTCGCGGAAGATCAGCGCTGGGATCATTGAGTAATACCCAGCATTCAAAGCTGAGCGTGGACGCAATCCGGTCAGCATCACATTGTTTTATTATATTCTTTTATTTAGTTATTTACATTTTTTCCCTACTTAGTTAGTATGTTAGTTTAATTTTTTTTTTCTTATTATTTCTGATTGTGACGTGTTGCTACGGATTAAATGTTATTTTATTTTATTTTACTATATTTTATTTAATTATCTTGTAAATTAATAACTTATAGAAAAAATTCTACATGAATTAAAAAAGCGTATAAATTCTGTGTAGTACAACATTAAATTAACGAATAAATTCCAAATTGAACGAAGAATAGAATGCGAAAAATTTGTGAAAAAGCTCAAATAATGTGTAATATTTGCGTTACTACACTTTCCAAACTTCTGTATAGTTACAATCAAATTATAATAATAATCAAATAAAAAATAACTTTGCGATGTAGAAAGATTTTGGGAAATTCGACAAAAAAAAAATAGAAATTCAAAAACAATAAATGACAAATCAATTGATACAGAAAACTGTTATTGGAAATAATTAAATTTTATTTTTATTTAGTAAACTGTTCGCCATTTTGTCTAAGTGAAATTAAAAAAATAATAAAAACAAACCCTATACTCAAAGATAACGTAGCATTTAGTGAATGAATTTTTGAATAATTTTTAAATTACTTCAATACATATTTCCTAGTTATAATATTAATACAGATAACGCTAACCTGTCTTTTATCAGTTTTGTCTTGCTTGTCCTCGTCTACTCTATGTTCTGTGTCGGAGACGCCTTCCGCCAGGGACATTGTCTGCTACTGCCGGCGTCAGCCTCAAGACACTGTTTTACCTACAGTCGCGACAACTCGACCGTGCTACCACTCCTTACTGCGCCCAGACTTAGCAAACTATAGAGTGGATACGAAATAAAACAAATTTATACCATCTGTAAGTTCCTTCTACAGATGTAATTTAACTTCAATTGGTAATCGAATTGTCTAGAATTGATCGTGGGTTTTTAAATGTTTAAAAGGCGAAGTAATGTTTATTTGACAATACTGTATTTGTACAGCACATAAAATCGCTTGTGTTTGTTATTAAATGACTAAAACTAAAAAGCCTAAAGAAAAGTTTTTAAATGTGACGTATTATTTATAAAAACTAAATTAAATTTAAGACTAAAAAACTGCTTATTTTTGCTGTTGTTACTCATTTATTCATATTAATTGTTGTACAAACATTATGAAAATTGTTAATAACGACTCCGTATCTTTTTAAGTATAATTTTTATGACAGGCGCGACGAAAGAATCGACCGAGACTATTATTATCCGAGTTCTTCATAGAGACAAAGATTGTCTTAACTATTAGTGTTCTACATACGACCATATGGTTATATTATTTTGTTTTTAAATTAGGTATTTAATATTTTTACTACCAGCCACTGGTTTCAACGCCCCTTACCGTCCCGCAATATTATTTTTATAATGCCTTTATTGCCGAAACTAAGAATAAATTTACAATTGTAACACTTAACATAGATTTTCTAAGAAGTTTATATATTTTTTTATTCTAGACCAGTTGTCGGCGTGTCCCGTGACACATCTCTTCCAGCTCTTTCCATTCTTGGCTATTATGCGCTTTCCTCTCCTAAAATATCCCTCCAGTGTCTTTATGTCGTCTGCCCATCTCTGCCCTCGAGACAGTTGGATAGATAAATGTTTGTTACAGTTTGTAACCTAGGGTAGGTTAGGTTAGGTAGGCTTGCTGCTCGCGGAGGTGTACTGGCGGAGGGCGGAGGCCCGAGATCGGGCGGAACACCCTCCG